CCCCCCCGGAGGGGGCCAGCCGATGCCATGCAGCACCCCGGGACACAGGGAGACTTGGGCTGGTCGAGGGCCCCAGTGCCACACGAATGACAGCTCACCCGGGGACCCCGGTGCCTGGCACAGAGGCACCCTGCACCTTGAGCCTGCAACTTTCCTGCCCTCCCCTTTGGTGGGTCCAGCTCTGCCAGGCCCCAGGCCCCTCGCTGCAGGCTCCCGCAGCACTCAGAGACCTCCCCAAGTGCTCACCGAACGGGGAGAGCACGGTGCGTCCCAACCTCTTCCCATGCCAGAGTCTGTGTTTCTCGCTCCCTAGCATCTCTGCTCCACAGGCTGGAGAAACACAGTCATTAGGAGCGACCTCCACCACTCTTCCCTGCCACATCTTTTAATCCCAGATCCCTCACACAGCTTCCTCCAAACACACCCATCTCTGTCCTTGGCAGCGGTGTGGGATGGGAGAGGAGGTCATGGCTGCACAGGGCAGGGAAAGCCAACAGGCACCCACACCCTGGGGTCCAGCTGCATGAGCTGGTGAGGACACAGCCAGTCCCACGTTCCCTGCAAGCAACACCGGGACCCCCTCACCACGAGACGCCCGGCACCCTGGGGACTGGTTTACCAGGACGAAGGCCACCTGGTCTCCACATCCTGCTGCAGACAGGAACAGACACAGCAAAGGAGGAACTGCACTGCTGCATGGGCACCCCGGGGCCCTGTGGGTGCCGCAGCTCCCCAGCTTGTCCGGGGGGTGAGAAGCCGCTGGAGGAGTTGTGCAGTTGGGTCGCTGTGGGGGAAAACAGACTGGCAGCAAGTCAGCGAGGAGAGGGCAAAACCTCCAGCCTGTCCTGCCTCGTATCGGATAGGGATTTGACTGTTGCCAGCAGCGAGTTTCCATGCACTGGAGATGCGCATGTGTGGGTGTGAAGGAGAGATAACATCATCATCATCATAACAAATGCAGCTGTGCAGCTCCATTCTGTGCTTATTGGCTTTCTTCTGTTTATCTATAAATAATTGCGGGGACACAATAGACTTTTAAGACTGCCGAAGAGTTTGTCTCCTTCCAGCAACCGTATTGCCACAGTGCTGCCACCTTATCTGCTTGTAGAAAGATGAGGGTGGGAAAAATATTTACTGTCGGGGATATTTGTCATCTGCAAATTACCTCTGCCTACAAGCCACAGTGGTGATAGGACTGACAGTGCTGATCTGTATTGCAGGCACGTGAGCCCTGGGGTTCTCCATGCTGCCCCAGACCCGCCTGAGCCTCCTCCCCATTAGCTGGCAGGGCAGGCAGCACTGTGCCGGCAAATCCACTGCGCATGCAAAGCCATGCCATGGGCTGCAACTGCAGCCCAAAGGGATGAGGAAAGCAGCAGCTGATGCTGAACTAGGTGCCCAGCCAGTGGCTCGACACAGAGGAGCACCGTGACAGGACGACTGAGGGACTACGCTCAGAGGTTTGCAACGTTGGCAGCACCTCCCTGAGCACACACCTGCACCCCGATGCTGTGCAGCCAGGGCAGCGGCCCCCCAGCACAGCACCCCCAGGCACCGACCACCTTGAGAGCCCCAGGCCTCACTGCTCTCCTGCAAAGGACAAACGCGCCATGCACCCCTGCCGCTCTCTCAGCATTCAACATCTCTGCCAGCTCTGCTCTGCCCACTGTTGCCAGCCCCACCAGCCTTGCTTGCCACTGGGATTTCTGCAGCCCAGAGGCTTTGCACAGCACTTACCACTGCAGTATCCAAGAACTGATCTAATTGATGTGACACCAACTATTCAAGTATCACTAAATGCAGGATTAATGCTTCTGTGTGTACAAACCTCCTGGACCCTGACCATGAAATTATAACTCTGACGTGAAAGGAGCCAGAGCAGGAGCACCAGATCTCAGCTGAGCCCCTGCCACCGCAGCGCCGGCCAGCCCTGCCGGGACACCTCCCCGATGGCTGTGCGGAGAGGCAGCGTTGCACGGGATGCCTGCAGCATCCAGCTTGCTGCACAGAGAGTCAGGGCCTGCCGCTCCCCGCAGACCAGGCTGCGGCCACAGCATGCCCTGCACAGCCAAGCCAACCTGGGCAGCATCAGGCACGTGAGCTCTGGCAGGGCTGCCACCTGGGGAGCTGCA